TTGAGAGACAAGCCGAGGAAAGAGGTCAGAATTGATAGCTGCTCGAAGACGCGCAGCAAGGCTACGAATACGAAGGTCGCCCGCCTGCACTTTGAAGCCTATGTCCTTGAACCGTGAGAAGATCGCCTGCGGAAAAGAGTGTCTCGGAGCACACGTATAAACTTGCAGAGCTTCTCTTTCAGCGCGCAGGATCTGGGGGGTCGGGCGGAAGCCTTGAGATATATCACCAGTAACGGATAGAGCATACACATTATGAGCGGCGACACTGCTAGCCATGCCAAGCCCCATTTTTTTGATGGCGAGGGACCCCTGGGCAAGCTTATGGGCGACAGGATTCCAGGAATAGGCTGGGAGCGTCCCACCCAAGATAGAACCCAAGATACTTCCCATGCTGTTGAATTTTGAATTGGTCGACACGAATCCCCATTCTTTTGAATTCATCTCTAGCTGATTCAGCGCTGCCAGGATCCAGGAGAACGGTGACACACTTCTTGAGATTTACAGCAAGCCCAGCACCATTCCCAAAGAGACATATCTGACGAGCGACGGCAGGGAGAGCGGCATAAATATCAGCGGAGGTGAGGCCAAGGTCGTCGGCAAAAGCTGCGACCCCCTTAGGGGCCTCGATGGGGGGCCGGTGCAACTGTCTCAGGAGCGGGTCGAGCGCAAATGCAAATAAAACACCAGAGAGCGGGCAGCCCTGCTTGACGCCGGTCAGAACCTCGAAAGGAGATGATACAATGCATATTGGCATAAAGTAATGCGATGGCTGTGATCATGAATGCGGGAAAGTTGCACGCCCTCAGAACCCTGAAGACCCAAGAGTGGTGCACAGACGGGAAGGCGGCGCGAAAATCACAGAAGCAAGCTCCAGCTCGCCTCTCTCCACATACGGCATACCAGTGAGCAAGATTGAAATCGACCTCGAGAACGTTATCGATAATTCGACGACCCTCGATAAATCCACGATGAGTTTCATGAAGACGGTCACGGGCGACCTCCGACATTGGGGAGGCGATAAGACAGCTGATCAGTTTATTGTCGGTATTCGATAGCGCGATCGGTCTCGTGTCTTCGACGGTTTTGTAGACGTGATCCGAGCCCCCGAGGTCCCCTTTCGGCAAGAGGGCGAGCTCGGCTGCATTGAAATCCGAGCTCATCGGGTTCCCCGCGAGGAGGTGGAGATAAACGTCGTAGACTGCTTCCTGTGCCACAGGTCCAGCGGCCCTCCAGGCGCTGCAGCGCAAGCCGTCGGGTCCTGGGGCTGAATCTTTTTCCCTGTGCAGGAGGTCGAGAAATTGGTCAAGCGTGAGGGCCCAGGGGAACCTTTGGAGGGTGCTGTTGGCGAATTGGTGGGGGCCCGAAGGGAGGGAGGGAAGGTCCTGGAGAAATTCAGCCCCAGCTCCTGGACACTGATGTCCACGTGCGAATACTGCACTCCAGTGGTCAGCGAGCATCTTGGCACAGGTATTGGGCTCGGCGAACTCACTGCCGTCTGCACCGATGACACCCTTCAAAGCTACAGTGCGCTGACTGGCCCTCCAGGCACGCGCGAGACGCCGAATGCGGTGCAGATGATAATCTGCAGAGTTGGTTGGCAACCGATCTGCTTCCAGAAGGTCGCGTTCTTGCTCCTCAAGCTCAGCCCTCATCATTTGACTCAGGTGAATGTGGAATCCAGACCAATGGGTAAATAAGAAAAGCTCGGGGTCGTAAAATTCTCTCAGGACAGGGCGAGCCCGAAGGGCCAGTTGGATGCCACGCTGGATACGCCCACGATGGGATCTGGCAAGGCGGCGACAACATGCGATCTCGTCTTGCCGAGCGGCGGCCACGGGACGATACATCTCTCGTTTGCATTGTTGCCCTGCTGCGACCATGCACTCTTTGACCTCGAGTAGACGCACGGTGGGGTCGGAGCTAAACTCTTGCCCATTGGCGAGCTCTTCAAAGATGCTGGCGTAGGACTGGCGCTTAAATACCCATGCCGGCAGGAAAACTTCACCATTCGGCTTCCAAGGTTCGAGGGGGAGATAGACAGGGACGTGGTCAGAGGGGAAAGAATAGTCGGCGACATTCCACTGAGTAAAACTGAGGGGGTTGTGGTCGAGGAGGCCGGCGGTGGGAATATTCGCAAAGACGCGGCCCAGGCGGGCATGCGAGGCAGAGGAGGAAGGGGAAGTCGCAATGCGCCGACGGGCGAAGGAGTCCTGCTCGAGCTCTGCGAACTCGCCAAAGATAATCCTGAAGGCCCCTGCGAGCCTGGACGGAGAGAAACGCTCAACCCCACTAGAAGCATAGTACCTACCCCCCCCCCCCCCCCCAGCTCGAGACAGTTGAAGCCACCGAGGATGAAAGGAGAAGAGGAAGCGGGCGAGGGGAGGGCACGACGAGTAGAGCCGAACTGGGCTCGGATCCCGGGTTCGGGAAGGTCGGGGGCAATGTGAACATTGACTATGCTTAAGGTCCCCCGGGGTCCTGAGAGCTGGAGAAGGGCAACACGGCCAGGCGCAAGTTCGCGAAATACATATTCACTGAATTGTCGCTGCAGCCGCAGAGAGACAAAGATGAGAAGACCTCCAGCATTCGCGGTTGGCGCGAACGAACCGAAGATGGAGTGCTGCTTAAAGTCCCGCTTGAGGGGGAGGAGGTCACCCTCGGTGCCGCGGGTCTCTTGCACTGCTAGTATGTCGTTGTGTTGGGGGAGAGAATGTATGATATGAAATTTGCGTCGAATGCGATGCTGGTTAGAATAAGCAGAACCAATCAGCGCCTGAGAGTTCCAAGTGGTGATCTTGAAGGGGTCTTTCGGGAAGTAGGGTTGGGAGGAGGAGGACTGAAAGCTAGACGCCCCCCCCCCCCCCCCCCCCCGAATTCGGCGACAGGGCATGGGGGGGGGGCCCAGAGGAAGGAGAAGGGGCGGGAGCCAACAAAGGCTCGCCAAATTCACTGAAGGCTTGGGAGATCTGCAGCGGCAGCGACGGCGCGGCAGCATGCGGGGAGGACGAGCAGCGCCCCCCGCGCTCATCCCCCACCAGAGAGACGTCAAAGTCAATACCCTCAAAAGATTCGCTCCTGGCTGGAGCGTCGGCCTGCAAAAAAAACACCCTCGCAAGTCATCAAGCACCTCTTGGATGTGGTCGGGGTGATGCCCCAGGTCGTCAACGAGGCCTGATTCGGTTCGAATGTGAACTGGTATCCAGAGCCCTGCTTCGCGGACACGAGCTCGTAGACGTCGGAGTCGGATATGACCTGCAATACACCCTTGTGGCCGTTGGCCCCGAGCTTGCACGTGGCGCCCCACAACGGGCTCTTCATCACGAGCTGTTTGACGGAAACGTAGATGCTAGAGAAGGCCCGCTTCCTCTGGCGGACGCGGAGAGGAAGATCTCCCCGCATACGAAGAGGATGGACACTTTGATCGCGCAAGTCTTGCCAAGAGATGCCAACCATGTTCGCCTTTCGCTGGAATTCAGTGGCTGAGTCCTCTGTCTTGAACTTAAGTTTGTATACCTGCGAAATGCCATGGGACTGGACCTCGACAGCAATCTCATCGCCTAACTCCTTGGGGGATCTGGCTTTCAACTGTTCAAAATGTGATTGACGGGTCTTGAGCAGCAGTGGGCGCGGGAAAGTTCCAACATATTTGATCCTCAGATCACCCTGCTCGAAATCGTTGGTTAGGTCGATGGCAGATGTGTCAACCCGTCTACTTTTCGTCCCAGACTGTGAGAAAGAACGAATTGATGAGCCACCTGAGGCCGTACTTGGCGTGGAACTGCGCACCGACTCGAGTTTTTGAAGCCGATCTTCCTGCCGAGAGACTTGTTCTCGGAGCGCTGCGAGCTCGGCACCCTGGGCAGTGAGTTGTCCTTGGATCCCTCCAGTCGATGTCTGGATCTCGGCGCGGAGGGTGGCCGTCTGCGCTTCCATGAGTTCCTGCAGCATCTTCTTCATGGCGATCTCGGCCATGGCTGGAAACTTGACTGCGGGGTCGCCGCGAATGGCGGGATAAAGAGATGTGAGGTGGTGCCGAAAGAGGCCTGCGGGGTCGCCTGTCGACCCCTGAAGCGCGGCTCGGGCCCCGCCCCTTGGCTATGTCCAAGGTTCAACCGCGAGGCGGCACGGTTCGACCTTGAGCCAAGATGGCTTGAGCCAAAATGGCTACGGAGGTGGTGGTGAGGTGGAGGAAGGCGAGGATGACGAGAATGATGATGCTTGTGGTGATGATGATGACGGTGATGATGATGATGATGATGCTGATGCTGATGATGATTGTGATGTTGATGCTAATGATGACGGTGATGGTGATGGATGTGGACGATGATGATGATGATTATGACGATGATGATGATGTTGGTGATGATGATGATGATGGTGATGGTGGTGGTAGTGATTGTGATGGTGGCGATGATAATGACGGTATTGATGATGATGATGATGATGATGATGATGATGGTGATGATGATGATGATTATGGTGATGGTGATGGTGATGATGGTGGTGATGGTGATCGTGATGATGCTGATCATTATGATGTTAATGATGATGCGCAGGAGGAGGAAGAGGAAGCGAAGCGAAGCGAAGCGCTCCTCTGGGGAACCCGCCCGTGCCCATTAGGGCATGGCGTGGAGGCCTTGGCCTCGACAAGGAATATCACTAAAATATTCAGGCTTGTGAAACGTTTGCCAGCTCACAGGATGCCCACCACTCTGTGCAGCAAGCGGCCCGGATCCATCGTAGGTCGTTCGTGTTGTTGTGCTCGTATTGTCGTGGTTGGGTGGCTGCCCTGTTCTGTTCCTCTACGGCCTCGCTGTCCAGACTGTGCAGGAAGCTGCGGATATCGTCGTCCCCGCTTTGGCTGCCCCCCATGCTGCCGTCGTCCGCGCTTGAGGAGGAGGAGGAGGAGGAGGAGGTGGAGGAGGAGGAGGAGGAGGAGGAGGAGGAGGAGGGCCCCGCCCCGCGGCCAGCGCATAGCGACGGCGCCCGCGAGAGCGGTCCTTGAACACGTGCGGCCTCGCCGAGAGGAAGACCAGGTTGCAGGAGGGCAGCCCAGTGGAGTGCGTGCGGTCCAGGATCCTGCGGCCGGGACCGCAAGAGCATGGGCGGCCGATCTGGCTCCTCTGGCGCTGGCGGCCCCCCACGCCCTCGCTCCTTTCCCTCCCCCTGCTCGTCCTCCTCCTCCGCCTCCTCATCCTCTGACTCCTCCGACCCCTCCTGGCGGCGCGCAGAGGGGGTAGGGGCAGGGGGGAAGGCTCCTCGGGAGCAGGGGGTGCCTCCTCTCATGAAGCTTCCCCCCCCCCCTCCCCCCTGCCCTCCTCTGCGCGCGGCCGATTCTGATTCCTCTGCCTCCGCTGCGCGGAAGCGGCCAGGGCGCGGCGGGTCCGAAACAGGCTCAGGCAGCCCGGATAGATCGCGTGCTTAGGGAACCGGTCGTCGCAGCCTGCGGCCACGACGGGGCAGGGACGGCGCGTGGCGAGGAGGAGAAAGGGGGGGTCCTCCTCTCCTCCTCCTCCTCCTCCTCCTCCTCCTCCTCCTCCTCCTCCTCCTCCTCCTCCTCCTCCTCTCCTCCTCCCCTCCTCCTCCTCCTCCTCCTCCTCCTCCTCCTCCTCCTCCTCCTCCTCCTGCTCCGCGCATTCACCCTCCCCGCGACGGACCACTGCCAAGCATGTTCAAGTCAGCCCCTGACCCGCTGGTTCGACGGAATCAGCTCCCCCATTGTTTTCTGCACCAGCTGAAGGCCGATTCGAAAGGATCGGCGCCTCTCTCTGCCACTCCCCCTCGGCAAAGACAGTTTGATGGACGACTCGGCCGGTTCGCTCCACCCAAGCTGGTAACATGCTGGCAGTATGCAGCAAGCCGCCTCTGAATACCTGGGGCGGAAAAATAGGCGATCCCCCACCAGAGGCTGTGCGGGGCCATCTTGGTGTCCCTCCAAGACGGAAGAGGAGAATGGCTGGAGGAGGAGGAGGAGGAGGAGGGGAGCAGAAGGAGGAGGGGGGAGATAGGGGGAGGGGGGGAGGAGGGAAGCAGGGAGAGAGGAAGACGCAGGGGAGGAAGGCAAGTCAGTAGGAAGTAAAAGTAGGGCAGCAGGGGAGAAGAGCACGAACAATAATAAGAATGAGAAGGCGAAGTATAATGATGACCAGCATGATAATGATGATGGTAATGAGAATTATACTGATACGGATATTGCTAATGATAATGATACCGATCATCATTATGATAAAGATAGTAGCAGCGAGAATGACAATGATGCCAAGCACAATACTATCCGTATTAATAACGCGAATAATAATGGAACTAGCAATGATGATACTAAGCATAACAGTAATGTTCACAATTACAACGCTAATACTAATAATAGACATGCTAAAAAAAACACCATACGGTTAAGCATACCAACAAGACAAGACTAAAAAATGGTACACATAAAAAACAACAAGAACAACCATATACATGCTATCATTAATAATAATACGAATCATAATAGTAAGAATGAGAAGAAGAAGAAGAAACATAACAATAATAATAGCCAAGCTGGGTGGAAGACGAGCCACGAGAGCGGAGAGGATCGGCGGGGCGCAGGGGTCTGTGCTGGGAGGGCGCCGGCCACGTGCGCCCCGCGCCGATCCTTGCCTGGCCCACCCCCCGCTCCTCCTCCTCCTCCTCCTCCTCCTCCTCCTCCTCCTCCTCCTCCTCCTCCTCCTCCTCCTCCTCCTCCTCCTCCTCCTCCTCCTGCTCCGCGCATTCACCCTCCCCGCGACGGACCACTGCCAAGCATGTTCAAGTCAGCCCCTGACCCGCTGGTTCGACGGAATCAGCTCCCCCATTGTTTTCTGCACCAGCTGAAGGCCGATTCGAAAGGATCGGCGCCTCTCTCTGCCACTCCTCCTCGGCAAAGACAGTTTGATGGACGACTCGGCCGGTTCGCTCCACCCAAGCTGGTAACATGCTGGCAGTATGCAGCAAGCCGCCTCTGAATACCTGGGGCGGAAAATAGGCGATCCCCCACCAGAGGCTGTGCGGGGCCATCTTGGTGTCCCTCCAAGACGGAAGAGGAGAATGGCTGGAGGAGGAGGAGGAGGAGGAGGGGAGCAGAAGGAGGAGGGGGGAGATAGGGGGAGGGGGGGAGGAGGGAAGCAGGGAGAGAGGAAGACGCAGGGGAGGAAGGCAAGTCAGTAGGAAGTAAAAGTAGGGCAGCAGGGGAGAAGAGCACGAACAATAATAAGAATGAGAAGGCGAAGTAGAAGGATGACCAGCATGATACTGATGATGGTAATGAGAATTATACTGATACGGATATTGCTGATGATAATGATACTGATCATCCTTATGATAAAGATAGTAGCAGCGAGAGTGACAATGATACCAAGCACAATACTATCCGTATTAATAACGCGAATAATAATGGAACTAGCAATGATGATACTAAGCATAACAGTAATGATCACAATGACAGCGCTATTACTAATAATAGACATGCTAAAAAAAACACCATACGGTTAAGCATACCAACAAGACAAGACTAAAAATGGTACACACAAAAAAAATAACAAAAACAACCATATACATGCTATCATTAATAATAATACGAATCATACTAGTAAGAATGATAAGAGGAAGAAGAACAATAATAATAGCCAAGCTGGGTGGAAGACGAGCCACGAAAGCGGAGAGGATCGGCGGGGCGCAGGGGTCTGTGCTGGGAGGGCGCCGGCCATGTGCGCCCCGCGCCGATCCTTGCCTGGCCCACCCCCCGCTCCTCCTCCTCCTCCTCCTCCTCCTCCTCCTCCTCCTCCTCCTCCTCCTCCTCCTCCTCCTGCACGGGGTCGGCGCGAAGCCATCGTGCTGCCGGGAGCGCCGAGTGGGAACCGCCTCGGCTCCTCTCTGGCCACAGCCCGCTTCTCGGCCACGAGGGGCCACCCGGGCACGGGGTCGGTGCGAAGTCCCCGAGCTGCCGCCCGCGGCCGGCCTCTCGGGCACGCAGGGGTGCCCCCAACCCTGCCCTGCATAAGGCAGGGCCGGAAGACCCGCCATCGCTCGGACGTCGTCCCTTCCCCGATGCACTGGTCGGCTCCGCGCGCGCAGTTTGTCCGCAGGATGGTCCAAAATGCTCCTCGATGGCCCTCGTCGAGGAACACGTGCACACGTCCGAGCGACGCCGAGAAAACCAGCGCCCCTCCCGAGCCCTGGGCGTTTTGATTGGGCGTCGTGACTGTATGGCTGGACCTCTCGGCGTCACGAATCAATCGCGACGTGAGCTTGTTCAGCGCGTTCGGCCTCTGCCAGGCCCGTTTTCAGGCCCCAGGACTGCCAAAAAGCAACTCAGGAGGAACAACAATTCCAGAGAAGGAGTCCAGACCTTCGTGAGGCCACGTCCCGAAGTAATCGTCACGTCAGATATCTGGGTAGACGCCCTCTCGTGGCCAAACCAGGAAAGCGCATACACTGATCATGGGCCCACGATTGATTGGCCTTGCGAAGATAGGTGCAAATGTTATGTTGGCATCGCAAGCATGCTATTTATGTTCCACACCGTTGGATCGATCAACACGCAGCCGCTGTAGGTCCATGCTGTGTGCCCCGGGTCCCCACTGGAAACCCGCTGAGGCGGAAGAAATGCAAAAGCTGGGGTCGACCAATAGCAATTGAAGCTAATCCCGTTCCGACGTACATCACAGAACCAGCACAAGGGGGAGGAAGAGCGAGAGGAAATAGCCTCTGGGCTCACTCATGCCTCAGGCGCCCTCCGAGGCAGGGTTCAGCGCTCCTGAGCTGTCCTCCATTTCAGCGATGAGCTCATCGATCTCCGTCTGCATGGCCTTCTTTCCAGCTCCCCCTGCTGCAGGGGCATCTTTCCCCTTGGCCTTGTCGCCCATCACCGTGCTCGCGTCTCGGGACATCTGCCTCTGCACGAGCTGCGCATAGACGCCCCCTTTGGTGACGAGCTCGTCGTGGGTGCCGCGCTCGAAGATGGCTCCCTTGTGCACGACGGCGATCTGGTTGGCGTTGATCACTGTGGACAGCCGGTGTGCAATCAGCACCACGGTGCAGCCCGTCTCGGCGATGAGCTTGTCGAGGGCCTCCTGCACCAGGGACTCGTTCTCCGAGTCCAGGGCGCTGGTGGCCTCGTCCAGGAAGAGCAGCCGTGGGCGGCGCAGGAAGCACCGGGCGATCGCGAGGCGCTGGCGCTGGCCCCCAGAGAGCAGCATGCCGCGCTCCCCCACGCGGGTCTCGTACCCCTCCTCGGTCTCCAGGATGAAGTCGTGAGCGTTGGCCGCCCTGCACGCCGCGACCACCTCCTCGTGGCTGTAGTCGCGGTTGAGGCCGTAGGCCAGGTTCGACTCGATGGACTTCGCGAAGAGCTGCGTGTCCTGGGCCACGAACCCGCAGAACGAGCGCACGCAGCGTGACGAGAGGCTGCGCATGTCCTTGCCGTCGAGGCTGATGCGGCCCTCGGTGGGCTCGTAGAAGCGCATGAGCAGGTGGACCAGTGTACTCTTGCCGCCGCCGCTCTTGCCGACCAGTGCGGTGGTGGTGCCAGGAGCCATGTCCATGTCGATGCCCTTGAGGACGAGGTTTTCTGGCCTCGTCTTGTAGCGGAACTCAACTTTCTGCAGCCGCAGATGGCCCTGCAAGGGGCCTCCCACATGGGGTGCTGGTAGGTGGGGTGGGACGATCGCGCCGCATTACCAATACATCACCGATGCATCGCCGATGCATTGGCGAAGCGGCGAGATCCCCCGACCCCGCCTACTAGGACCCCATCTGGGAGGCTGGGACCTGCACGTCCTGCCGCTGCAGCTGCTCGCCCTCGTCCGGGTCGACCTCGGGCCGCGCATCGATGAGGGAGATGACGCGCTCGGCGGCAGAGGATGAGCGGATAAGGTCGTTGAAGACGTTCCCCAAGGATATGAAGGCGTTGTTCATCATGTTCCAGTAGAGCTGGAAGGTGATGAGACTCCCTATGCTCATTGTCTTGCCCATCGAGCTGCACACGAGCGAACCACCGTACCAAAGGATGACGACTGCGGTGCCCAAGTTGAGATACGTCGAGAACGCAGTTACGGAGGCCCCCACGTAGGCGTTGCGCACTCCGTGCACCAGCGCTGTGCTAATGCTCTCCCCGTACTTCTCCGCCTCGAACTGCTCTGTTGAGAAGCCGCGCACAGTGCGGATGTTGTGGATGGCCTCGGTGGCCGTGCTGTTTGCCTCCCCGTACGCGCAATAGATCGAACGGTTCACCTTCCGGCCCCACTCGGCGTAGCGCCGATAGATGTATGTGATCGGCGGCACAACAGTCAGGGCCAGGATGGACAACTTCCAGGACGTGTAGAAGGCCATGCACATGCCACCCACGAGGAGCATGATGTTCGCAATCAGATCGTTCATCAGCGTGTTCAACGGCTGGACCATTTGGCTGGCGTCGTTAGTGAGGCGGGAGGTCAGCTGGCCAGTGTGCATCGTGTCGAAGAAAGATATGTCCATTCGAACGACGCTCTGGAACAGTTTCAACCGTACGCTGCATGCCAGTTGCCGAAGCACCAGATCCTGCGCCAAGGCCTTCAAGCCACCGAAAAGGCCCTGGAGAGCATTCACCAGCAAGTATACAAGCATCGCACGCTCGAAAGCGTCGTTGCCACGCTCGGGATGAGCCATGTACTTGACTATGGAATCGAAGATAGATCCCTGAACGCTCGGAGACCAAATCTGCATGCTCTGCGTAGCGACGAGGCATACAAGCGCACTGGCGGACGTCATCTTGAAGTCCAAGGTCAGTTCCAAGATGCGGCGGAAATACGACCAAGTCGTCAGCTGCTCGCCATCCCGTCGCACTGCTCTGGAGCCGAAGCCTCTAGCATTTGGATCATCCTTCTTCTTGTGGCAACGCGGGCATAGGTCGAAGTCACAGGTGCGGCAGCGATAGGCAATGTAATGAGGAGGCTTCATCGCCTCATGACAAACATCACACCCGTGGCACTTCAATCCCAGCTCGAAGAAGAGGGGGTGCATGTGCAAGTGGGGAATCATCTCGCCCTGCTCCTCCGTCAGCTTGTCCAACAGCTCGAGCAGCCAGAAGTACTCGACGTTGATGAGGAAGAGGATCAGTCCAAACAGGGCGCCCTGCGACACGATGAGCTTCGGATCGTAGTGAAAGCTGACGCACTTCAGCCCGTTATAGAAGGACATGCCTGGGGAAACCAAAAGGTTCCCCTACAGCTACCTCCCGGACCTCTCCCGAGGTGCGTCCTGACCAGAATTTCAAAGAGAATCCGGCCATGGAGACGAGGGCTCTCCAGAACGAGCAGCGGTACCGATGTTTCCTCCTCCTCGGAATGCCGGTCGCCACCACGAAGGCGAAGGCCATGATCAGGGTCCTCCGGCGGCCCGCTGTCTTCATTAGGATCGCGTGGTCGCGCTGGGCCTCGAACAGCGAGGGCAGCGAGGCAGACGTCGACGAGCTCGCGAAGCTGCCGGAGTCACCCATGCGCGCCAGCGGGACACTCAGCGTCGGGTCCGCGATAGGCCCCTGCGGCCTCAACTCAGGGCTATGATCAGGGGATGCCTGAGCCTGCTGCAGCCTTCGCAGGGGCGAGGAGGCCGCGGTGCGCTTGTACACGAGGAGGGCGACGGCCGCCATCAGAGGCAGGGCCACAACGCGCACGGCGCAGCACACCAGGGAGTCCAGCGTGCCGGAAGCGTAGCGATCGGCGTCGTGGGACTCCTCGTCGTCGGTGCTCCCCAGCCAGAACACGGCCAGGCACACGAGGACGTCCACCAAGAAAATCGCGGGCGTGATAAGGACAAAGGCACGCGTGGACAACAACGACATACAGCACCATCCCGCCATGACGCCTGCAGGAAAATCCCACCAGCCCTCTAGGCGTAGGTGTATTGACGCATCCTCTCTTGCAACCCCCTTCTTCCCCTTCGGGGAGGGGTCTACCCCTCCCCCTAGCCCTCCGCTAAGACTTGACGGGGGGCGGCGAGAGTGGTCAGAGCATCCACGATGGCCCTAAACGGCTCCACGGTGGCCCCAGATAATCTGAGACGGCCTCCAAAATGGCGCAAGATGGCCCAGAATGGGCGAAGATGACCTGGATCACGCCTAAACGGAGGCCCCAAGATCGCCCCAAGATGGCCGACGTGGCCGCGCAGCCTCCCGAAGAACCCCCCCGGGAGGCCACAACCTTCAACAACTGACAAAGTTGTTCATACACATGTGCGGTCGCGCCCTCTCGCTCGCGACGGACAACAGTAGGCCTCCACTGACCTCAAGCTGACCCAAGATGGCCTCAAGAGGAGCCCACAAGAGCGCCAGGGGGACCCGGAGGAGGTGGAGGAGGAGGAGGAGGAGGAGACTCCCCAGAGGGCTCCAAGAGGCGATTACTGACCAGGTGGATTACTAAATCCACCTTCTTGCGCCGGTGGCCTCCAGGATGGCTCCAACAGGGCCGCGAGCCCAACGAAGAATTCATCAGAGGCTGCCACAAAAAAATGCCCCCCAGGAAGGCCCCCAGAGGGCTCCCAGAGGCATCCAGGTGCCCCAAGTTGGCCACTGTTGAGAGCTACTCTTGGGCTGCTCCTTCCTGACCGAGCTCACTTTGACTGGTGTCTCCCCTCTTGGCCTCACGCGCTCTTCGGCAGCCATGTTCACGCCCTCTGCGAATCGTCTCTGGGTGGGCGGGGGATACGCGAAGCGTCAAAAACTGCGAACGGCAGGCCAGCACAAGGACGGGCGCGCGTTCAAGCCCTCATATTGAACCAAGAGAAGGCGGAAGAATCATCCGTGGCTCTGACAAGAAAACAGGATCAGTCAGCATCATATCGAAGTCGGATTTGCATCAAAATGCACGTCGGATCGGGCTGCATCGGCACGGAGTCCGAATCGAGTCGGATCGGCCGCGCCAGGACGCACAACAGCGCCATGCAGGCGTCGGACCCCATCGGACCGTCGGGATATCGGAATCGAGTTAGATCGTGCCGGCCGGAAATCGCCATCGAATCGGATCGATCGGATCGAAATGGGCCCTGAGTGTGGGAGGAGTACGACCTCCTGCTCCTCCTCCTCCTCCTCCTCCTCCTCCTCCTCCTCCTCCTCCTCCTCCTCCTCCTCCTCCTCCTCCCTCCTCCTCCTCCTCCTCCTCCTCCCTCCTCCTCCTCACGCGGCCTCCTCCTCCTCCTCCTCCTCTCCTCCTCCTCCTCACGCGGCCTCCTCCTCCTCCTTCCCCTCCTCCTCCTCATCCTCCTCCTCCGCCTCCTCCTCCTCCTTCCCTTGGCCGTCGCAGGCGGGGGGCGCCTGCGGGGAACTTGCCGCCGCTGCTGTAGAGGGTGTCGTCCACGTCGCTCAGGACCTGGGGGGAGGGGAGATTGCTGGGGGGAGGATGATGGGGAAACCAAAATAGAGGCCTCCTACCTCTTCCTCCTCCTCCTTCTCCTTCTCCTCCTCCTCCTCCCTCCTCCTCTTCCTCATCCTCTTCTTCACCCCTTCTCCTTCTCATCCTGCTCCTCCTCCTCCTCCAGAGAAAAAACGAAAAGCGCAAGAAACAGAAACGCCACCAGATCGGCGGCACAGGCTGGAGGCCATTCCAATAGAGGCCTCCTAGATGGGGTCGGAATAGATGGGGTCGGAGGATCGCGCCGCATCGCCGATGCATCGCTGATGTGTCGGCGATGCACCGGCGACGTCGACGTTGAGAAAATCGGCTTCCACGTCGAGCCGCATCGCCGATGCATCGGCGATGCTGCACGATCCTCCGGCGATGCGGCACGATCCTCCGACCCTGTCTACTCGGACCCCATCTAGGAGGCAGGAGGCCTAGAGCTACTCCCCGCACCTCTTCCGGGGTGCGTTCTGACCAGGATTATGTTGGGCGTGTCCCCCAACAGGGGGATTTTCGACGATACATAAAAAATACCCCAAAAATACCCCCAAAAGGTCAAAAAATACTAAAAAAAGAGTCCCCAGACTATTTTTGAACTATTTTTTAATTTTCCCCCTGTAGAAGGACAAGCCCGACTGAAGACCAGAATCTCGAGGCGAATCCAGCTGTGATGACGACGGCCTCGGCCCAGAGAGGCGACAGGAGGGCAAGGGTAATGGTACTGGTGCCTTCTCCGCCTCCGAGAGGAGGGAGGAGGTGGGGTAGGGGGATGAGAAGGAGGATCTTCCCTCGGGGTGCCTCCTCCTCCTCCTCCTCCTCCTCCTCCTCCTCCTCCGCCTCCTCCTCCTCCCCCCTCCTCCACCTCCTCTCCTCCTCCTCCTCCTCCCTCCTCCTCCTCTCCTCCTCCTTCTCCCCCCCCCCCCTCCCCCCTCCCCCTCCTCCTCCTCCTCCTCCTCCTCCTCCTCCTCCTCCTCCTCCTCCTCCTCCTCCTCCTCCTCGCCCTCAGGGAGCCGCCGCCCGAGGGGCCGCAGCACAGGGGCGTGGTGGCGCGGCCGCGTCGAGGGCGCACAGGCACCACAGCGCCGGGGCCCAGCCCCAAGGAGGGCGGGGCCCGCAGCCGCCCGCTGTGCTGGTGAAGGGTCGCTGGGCGCGGTGGAATCGACACTGCCTGAGGCGAGCCACTTCGTCATCATCAGCATCAGCATCAGCAGCATCATCATCAGCATCATCAGCAGCATCATCATCATCATCATCATCATCATCATCATCATCATCATCATCATCATCATCATCATCATCATCATCATCATCATCATCATCATCATCATCATCATCATCATCATCATCATCATCATCATCATCATCATCATCATCAGCATCATCATCCTCAGCAGCATCATCATCCTCAGCAGCATCATCATCATCAGCATCATCAGCATCATCATCATCATCATCATCATCATCATCATCACCATCATCATCATCATCATCATCATCACCATCATGACCATCACAATCACCATCACCATCACCATCACCATCACCATCATCATCATCATCATCATCACCACCATCACCATCACCATCATCATCATCACCACCATCACCATCACCATCACCATCATCATCATCATCATCATCATCATCATCATCATCATCATCATCATCATCATCATCATCATCATCATCTGCCAGTGCACCCCACCTGTACCTGAGGCGAGCCACTTCGCAGCGTCTCACGCTCGAGTGTCAGGGGCGCGCAGGGCTGCTGCGACTGTGGCTCGCTGCTGTGGTGGCGTAAGCTGGTCCCCATGGGCCGCCACAGCTTCAGCCTTGCGGCATGCATGGAGCGCGAGCACAGCCCGACGCACAGGCCGGGCGTGTTGGGATGAGAAGAAAGACCGGGTGTGTGGAGGAAGCCAGAATCCAGATTGGCCTGCATCCGGAGAGGCAGGTCTGAAAAAAGAGGGCGTGACACGCAACCAAGAAGAGCCCTCCTCTGTAGAGCGACCCCGCTGGCAGTGGCTGCCGCTGCGGGATGCGCGAAGCAAACTACAGCAAGGGAACTGGGGGATGAGAAAGAGGATAGGGGGATGAGGAGAAGGAGGAGGAGGAGGAGGAGTTGGAGGAGTTGGAGGAGGAAGATGGGGGGAGCAGAAGGACGAGTAGCAGGAGAAGGGAGGAGAGGATCGGATCGGATCGGTCATCCGAGAAAGTGCCTCCTACGAGGTATCAGCCGGGGGACTGAGCCCATAGATGCATCAACACGGCCCAAGGGAGGAGAGAAGAAGAAGGAGAGGGAGGAGAGGGGGGGAGGAGGAGGAGAACGAGGAGGAGAAGGAGGAGAATGAGGAGGGGGGGAGAGGGAGGAGGAGAAGGAGGAGGAGAACGAGGAGGGGGAGAGAACGAGGCGGAGGAGGAGAATGGGGACGAGGGGGAGGAGAGGAGGAGGAGGAGGAGGAGGAGGAGGAGGAGGAGGAGGAGGAGGAGGAGGAGGAGGGAGGAGGAGGAGGAGAAGGAGGAGGAGGAGGGGGGGGGGAGGAGGAGGAGAACGAGGAGGAGAGGGAGAAGGAGGAGGAGGAGGAGGAGGAGGAGGAGGAGGAGGAGGAGGAGGAGGAGAGGAGGAGGAGGAGGAGGAGGAGGAGAGGGAGGAGGAGGAGGAGGAGAGGAGGAGGAGGAGTGGAGGAGGAGGAGGAGGAGGAGGAGGAGGAGGAGCAGCAGGAGCAGCAGCAGCAGCAGCAGCAGCAGCAGCAGGAGCGGGGCGCGGGCGCGCCCACGTGGCGGCAGCTCTGGCGTGCGCTGGTGCAGTCCCTGCGCGCGTCGTGCGACAACGGTTCGGCATCATGCCTGGAGACGCGGGACACCGTGAAACGCGCAGCGCCGAACTGGATGGCGTCTGGGTGCGTATGCACAACGAGGAAAAAACTTCTGAGAGGGCAGAGACAAGCAAGTGCGTGACCGAGCGAGAGCGGGAACGAGAGAGAGAGAGAGAGACAGACAGACAGACAGACAGGCAGACAGACAGACCGACAGACAGACAGGCAGACAGGCAGGCAGGCAGACTGACTGACAGACAGGCAGGCAGGCAGACAGGCAGGCAGGCAGGCAGACAGAGCAAACAACTTAAACAAACAAACATAACATAAAGACACTGAGCGAAAGAGAGAGAAAGATAGAGAGAGAGAGCGAGAACGAGAGCCATAAGGAAACAACAAGTGTAAAATCTTTCTGCAGACAATGCATCTACAAAACACATAAGTAGAGAAGAGGAGAGGGGAACATAGGGGGAGAAAGAAGAGAACGAGAGAAAGAAAGAGAGGCTAAGACTTAGACGGGGGCCGCCACTGGGACTCAGACCGGGACTTCTGGGAGGGCGGAGAAAAGAGCTAGTCAGTAAGCGCATGAAGGAGAGAGGAAGAGTCAGAGAGATAGAGAGAGAGAGAGCGAAACAAAACATGTGATAGTGTTACATCTATAAAGATATGGACAAGAAGGGGGAAAGAGAGAGAGAGGGGGGGGGAAACAGTGCTGTATCCAGACACTTGTACGCATGCCTTTACATATACACATAGCTTTACATATAGAGAGAGAGAGAGATGTGTGTGTAGCACCCTGTAGTTGCGGATAAAAGTGAGGGCGCGGGCGCGGAGTGGGTCGTGGGTGGGTCACGGGGTGGGTCGTGGGCGGGTCGCGGGGTGGAATGCGGGTGGGTCGCGGGTGGGAACAGATATAGATAATGTGCATATATGCGTATGAAGACACCAAGAGGGAGAGAGAGAGAGAGAGAGAGAGAAGGAGAAGGAGAAAAAAAGAGAGAGAGAGAGAGAGCGCCTGAGACGACTGAGACTGAGACTGGTGCCAAGACTGAGAACTGGGCACCGAATTTGGGACTGGGACTGGGACCGGGGCAGAGGACGGGGCGAAGCAGCGAGGGCCCGCCTTGACGCCCACGCCGCCGCCGTGCTGGCTCCGAGCGGCGCGGGCCTCGACGACGAAGTGGCGGAGGATCTCCTGCGCGGCCCGAAGAGGTGAGGCCTGCGATCATGCCCTCCCGCTCCCTCCCTGCCGCCCCGCACCCCCCCCCGTTACTCCTCCTCCTCCTCCTCCTCCTCCTCCTCCTCCTCCTCCTCCTCCTCCTCCTCCTCCTCCTCCTCCTCCTCCTCATCTTGATCCTCCTCATCCTACTCCTCCTCGTCATCATCGGCATCAGCATCAGCATCAGCAGCAGCATCCTCATAATTATCATCATCAGCATCATCACCAGCATCACCAGCATCATCATCATCATCATCATCATCATCATCATCATCATCATCATCATCATCATCATCACCATAGTCATCGTCATCATCATCGTCATCGGCATCGTCATCGTCATCGTCATCGTCATCGTCATCGTCATCGTCATCGTCGTCTTCATCAGCAACATCATCATCATCATCATCACCACCATCATCATTATCAGCATCGTCATCAGCAGCATCAGCATCATCATCATTATCATCATCAGTATCATCACCAACACCATCATCATATCATGATCATCACCGTCACCATCACTATCATTATCCTAACAATATCGTCGTCAGCGACGTCATCATCATCATCACCACCACCATCATCATCCTCATCATCATCCTCATCCTCATCCTCATCCTCATCCTCATCATCATCCGTATCCCCATCATCATCAGCATCATCAGCATCATCATCATCAAACTACCATCATCATCACTATCACAATCATCATCAGCAGCACAGCTTCATCATCATCCGTATCATCATCGTCATCATCATCATCATCGTCGTCATCATGATAAGATTTCAGCATAGTCATATTCATCTGCGTATTCATCTCCATCTTCGTCCTCATCATCATCAGCATCATCCGCATCATCATCGTCATCATCATCGTCCTCCTCCTCCGCCTCCTTATTCTCCTCCTCGTCACCATCTCTCCCCCCGACTTACCTACCTACCTACCTATCTGCCTACCCACCTACCTACCATACCTACCTACCGAACGACCGAACTACCGACCTACCGACCTACCTCCCTACCAGCCGACCTACCGACCTACCTACCTGTTCCTCCACCTCCTCCTTCTCCTCCTACCCTTTTGTTGGCGCAATGGGATGGGCGTCAAAACAACCTTTTAAAGAGCGGCGCGACTGTCCCGCGTAGGCGGCGGACCAGAAGAAGAGGGGGAAAATGAAAAACAACCGGCGAACCGGGAGGAGGAGGAGAAAGCGGAACACTGGGAAAAGGATGAGGAGGAGGAGGAGGAGGAGGAGGTAACTCCCCCCCACCTGCCGACCAACATCACTGACTCATTTCTCAACTCTCGTCTGTTCGTCCTTGCTCCCACCCCTTCCCTATCCTTCGTCACCATCTGGGCCCGAAAACTGCTCCTGTGAGGGGTTTGGTCTCGCACCGGCGACGAACGAGCCTTCTGTACCAATGGCCCCCTCTGAGGGGTAGCAGCGCTGAGTGTTGTGACAAGGGTTCCCTGGCGATCCTCTACCATGCGCGGGGCGGCGACGCAGCGGCGGCGGGCGGCCACCGGCCAGTGCACGGCGGCGACGGGGTGGCGACGGGCGGCCACCGGCCTGGAGCACCAACTCGGCGCAAAAGGGTGCCGACGATGCGGCGACGGACGGCCAGCGGGCGGAAACCCGGAACACCCGCCCAAGTGGCCGGGCAATTTGGCGCAGTCACTATCTGGGGGATACCCCTTGTGCAGATCGGCGGCAACCCCCCACTGCAAGGAAGCAGGGCCCCTGCGATGCGCGGCAATCGCGGACACCCTCGCCTCTCCCCTCCACCCTCATCATCCCCCTTCTCGTCCCCCTCCCAACCTCTCCCCCGCCCCCCATCACCTGGCCCCCGCACCCTGAGGTCCGACATTACGAAGAAAATACGCCACCGAAGAACCCCACATACTCATTTAAATCGTTTTTTATTTTTCGTTGACGGACGGCACTGTGGGTCATCAGCTCGTCTCTCAGCCAAAAACTGGTCCCATCCGACAGCTTTCTTGTCCGCCTGGACGCACAAAAATTCCGCGATGACCAACAGTCGCAGATCCTGCGACCACGGTCCTTGCAACCGTCGTCCGTCCGTCTCCGCGGGCCCGGGGAAACCTGAACGCAAAATGCGCCAGTGGACCGAAGAGAGGTAGCCAGCATTGCAGCCGGAGAGCGTTACGGCGTGACGGCGGGGGCTGGCGCACCCTTCGTGGGCGCGGCCCTCGCGGGCGCAGCCTTCATTGGCGTGGCAAGCGCTGCGGAAGGAGACTCTGGGTCAGCGCTTACGCTGCCAGCCTCGCGCACTCGCCAGACCTTCGCTGGCGGTCCGCCGTCGCGTTCCCCTTCCTCCTCCGGCTGATCTGAGAAGGCCTCCGGAGGGAACCCGCCCGGCGCAGGGTTCCGCAGGTACTCCACGAGGCACTTCGCGTAGATCGTATCGGGCCACCAACTGTTAAGCTGACGGCGGTACGCATCAAATGCGGACAGCACGTTCCGTTTGCGCATCTGCGCAAGTTCTCCACGCTGACCTCGCCGCCCACCAGAATCATTGCGCTTTTCAACGCCAAGTACAGGGGTGGCAGGGCGTCCCAAGCAATTCTGGGCGGCATAGCCGCTACGCGCAGGTAAGGCGGTTGCCACCTTCAAAAGAGATTGTAGGCGCGCCTGCGTGAAATCGCACGCGCCAACCCTGATTGAGCCAAGGTGTCTGCCGTTCGGGAAACTACACGAGCTCTCGCACGCGCACCCGCCCGCCCCACGCGCAGTCTCGTGGCATCAAAGCAGCGCCACGCCTGTCACGCTTCGAAACCCCGACACGGACAGCGACCGCACCCCCAAAGCACCCGCTGTGCTGACGAGAAAGTGCCACGCCTGCAACGCTTTGCGAACCCGAAACGGGTAGCGACCGCACCCCAAAGACACCCCCAGTGGCGTCGAGACAATGCCACGCCTGCCACGCGTTGCGAGCCCGAAACGGACAGCGACCGCATCCACAGCGCTCCCCCGTGGAGTCCAGGAAAAGACGCGACTACCACACATTGCGAGCCCGAAACGGATAGCGACCGCACCCCCAACGCACCCCCGGTCGAGGAGAGGACACGCCTGCCACACTGTGCCAGCCCGAAACGGATAGCGACCGAACCCGCCTGCAACGTTTGGCGAGCCCGAAACGGGTAGCGACCGCACCTCCAAGGCACCCCATGCAACGTCGAAAATTCCACGCCTGCCACGCTTTGCGGGCCCGAAACGCATAGCAACCGCACCCCCAGCGCACCCCCTCTGGCGTCGAGAAAGCGCCATGCCTGCCACCGAATCCGACGCGTATGTGTTGTGCGGTTGCATGTGGACGTGTGTCTCATGTGCGTGCCCTAATAATAGTGCTGCATACGTCTGGGGTGCATGATGCCATCCACGCGCCAGGTCTTGCCTGGCGCTGTACGGGGCGCGTGCGCGCGGCTGCAACTGCGTGTATGTGCGATGCATTCGTGCTGAGCGCGCCAGGTGCCGTCCCTCTCCTACCTGCGTGTGGCGTGCATAGGAGGAGGAGGAGGAGGAGGAGGAGGAGGAAGAGGAGGAGGAAGAAGAGGAGGAGGAGGAAGAGGAGGAGGAGGAGGTTGCACGTGTGCTGCGTCCACGGCTGCGTGTGGCCGCGCGTCATCTCCTGTCAATGCTGCGCCCGTCGTGCATGCGCCTGGTAGGAGGACGCGGGTGCGGCGCGGGCGGGGTGTCAGAAGGAGGATACGCAGAAGGCACCTATACACCACCACCGTGACAAGCCAGGGCCATCCTGGCCATGGCATGGTGTATACGCCCTCCTGGCCGAGGCCAGGAGGGTCTGCACACCATCCTAGGGCCCAGGATGGCCCTGGCCTGGCACGGTGGTGGTGTATAGGCGCCTTCGTCGGAGAGGAGGAGGAGGTGGAAAGGGGCGGAGGTGAGGAGGATCAGAGCAGGAAGAGGTACCCATACCGCTGATTACCCTTCCCTCGCTTTCGCCTCTCTGGGCCTCCCATGAGAGGCCCGCGTCGCCACCGCTGAATTCGCCCCAAAAGTCTGGTCAGAACGCACCCACAGAGAGGTCCGGGAAGTAGCAGCATCGGTACTCCAGATTTGTAATAAAAGGGAGGGGGTCTGGACCCTCCAAGACAAGCCATTTCAGACCTCCCCCGTGGGAGAACCCTCCAAAACATCGTCCCCAGACCCCCCAGGCCCTCCAAGATAGCCTGGAAGAGACCCCCCCCCGAAATGAGACCCCCTCCCTTTCATACGAAATCTGGAGTACCTCTTGGCTTCCCCAGGAGGCGAGGGTGTGAGTGAGGCGTGCGGGCGCGGAGCGTGCGGGGAGAAAGCCAGAACCCCACTGGAGCACGTGGCAATTGCAGCACCGCGGGCAACCACAATCACGTGCGCAGCCCCGGGCCCCGCCCCTCTGCTGCCCTCTCCTCCGGGCAGGAGCGGCATGCCAGGGCCCCGGGGGCCCGAGGTCGGGCGAGGACACCGGGCGCGGAGTCGTCGCCACGCCCGGGCCTCGAGGAGGCACTGGCGCCGCTGCTCTCCAGACCTCCCCCTGGGGCGCCTTCTGACCGGAGAACGTCCGCGGCGAAGCCAGCCGTGGCGCGGCGAGGGCCTCGCAGGAGGCCCAGGCGGAGGCAGCGGCGGCGGTGCCTCCTTCCCCCCCCCGCCCCGCCCCAGCACCGCGGCAGGCTCGGGGAGACGCAAGGCGCGGGTTCGGGGGACTCGGGTTGGCCTGGCGGGGACGTCAGGAAAGCGACGAGACCGAGTCTGAGATCCGACGCGAGCTCCCGCTGCAAACATCCCGCGAGAACCAGACCGTCGCGGCGGGCGCGCACAAGGGGATGCAAGGGGGGTAGGGGCAGGGGGAAGGCTTCTCAGAATGAGGCTGCTTCTTCGAAGGCGCTGGCCCCAAGTCTGTACACACGGCCCGCGCCCTCTAAGAAGCAGGGCGCCTCGAAGAAGCCTTCC